ACGGCATTTGACGCCATTTGACAGACAATCCTCATAAAAAGTTTGTCGCATAAGAAATATGACGGCATTTGACTATATTTGCGATATATCGAGTAACAAGATGAATTGGAATTTGAAGGTACGAATAGTGAGATTGTGGCACGTTCCCGACCGCGACAAACCAGATAACACCGTCTCCCTTGAATTAATTATTCAAGACGAAAAGGTGCATTCTTTTTGAAAAAAACTTATTTTTTCATAAAAGTTTGAGTACAATCTCATATTCTGCTTCAAACTATAAGCATTCTTTTTGAAAAAAATTATTTTTTGATACAAATTTGACTACAATCTCATATTAGTCTTCAAACTAAAAAATTTATTATGTTATTAATTATGAATTTTTGGGTTCTAGGGCGATCGCATTCATGCGACTGTTGGTCGGTCACTTATACGTATGTTCAAACCAAAGTTAAAATAATTGGGTTTGTACGTTATGAAGAACTTTGTGGTTGGACCAAATTATACAAAACTTAAATACACGCGGCATAATTTGAAGTTGGCATTTACTCATAAGACGATTGTAGAGGAAGCAAATGATCATCTTTTTGGTATGACTATCTTCGACTTAAAACCTTATGAGTATTTGATAAACAAAATTGATGTTGAAGAAAGTGAACTTTTCGGTAAGTATTCAGTTCGCAGTTCTTTTATTTGAATGTCTTATAAACTTTCTCCTGATTATTTTTTTAAATTATTATAGATGTCATTGGAGAGGTTGTAAGTTATGGTGAGGTAGAATCCCATACCCAAGGTGATAAAACCAGCAATTATATGCATGTGGAACTTGAAGATCATGAGTAAGATTGCGTCTATCAATTTACTTTGTTATATATTTTAACATCATTACTTATCGTTGTCTGATTAAATTGTTATATATTAACATGATTATAGACGTAGTCTAATTTATTTCTTATATCAATTAACACAGGAGGAATAATATCTCTGCAACATTTTGGGGAGAATTCGTTGACCAAATCTTGCCACATTTACAGGGATCACCCCATCAGCTGGTCATAATTGTTATGCAGTTGATAAAAGCGCACAAATTTCAAGGTATTTCTATTGTACTGATGTTATTTGATAATATATTTATGTTAAGTTTTTGTTTCAAAAATTAAAGTTATATATAGGCAAATATTCTGTGCGTAATACTTGGCATGCCTCAAAGCTCTG